AGACCCCTGTGCTGTGGTGCGTAGCCCAGAGATGAAGCAACCAAAGACACCAGTGTGACCACATGGATGAGAGTGAGGCCTGGCCCTGGCCACACACACACACACACACACACACACACACACACACACACACACACACACACACACACACACACACACACACACACACACACACACACACACACACACACGCTCACACACTCACACACTCAGACCCCAGCTGGACAGGCTAAAAGGTGTTGACAGAGAAAAGCGCCCTGCTGCAGCACAGATTGAACACACCGTTCCCTCCTCCCTTTCATTGTCTTCCTTTCTTTATCTTCTACTTTTGTCTCTCATTTCTCTTGATGTAGTCGTTTCTGTCTCTGAAATCAGGAATTCGTACTTTTGACTCTCAGACAAATCAGATGGAAATGCAGCCGCTCTTCTTGAAGTAATAATGGGTGTTAAATACGCCAGCTGCTTTTCAATTACTACTGCTGTGTGTGTGTGTATGTGTATGTGTATGTGTATGTGTATGTGTATGTGTATGTGTATGTGTATGTGTATGTGTGTGTGTGTGTGTGTGTGTGTGTGTGTGTGTGTGTGTGTGTATGTGTTTGTGTGTGTGTATAACGGGGGACACTTGAAAGTTCAGTGCGATCCAGGGTCAGACCAGCTGATGAGGCGCCACACACACACACACACACACCCTGAGCGGGGTCAGTGTTTTGACAGAGCAGAGCCCCCCCCTCAATCCCATCACAGTCACAGTGTAATTACTTTGCATTATTGCCGGGTTATCTCTTAAGTCCACCACGGTTCATCATTAACTAGAGGTTCCTCCTCATTTAGATCTTCATGACTTTGCACCGCAGCTGCTTTCATGCGATCAGCTAAAAATGATGACATCACACCCCGATGGATACCAGGACTGGATCCAAATCAGCCGGGACTAGTTTTTCACCCCTCGTGCTCTGTGACACTATCACTTTTATTTATTCATACTGACCCTGGATTGCACTGCAGCATATCTCAGTTAAACGACTTTCTCTATACTGTCGGCTGATGAACAAAACAGTCAACAGTAATGATAATAATAACAATACATTTTATTTGAAGATTCCTTTTTCGACATTCAAAGGCATCGTACAAAGATACACAAAAATGCATTAAAAGGAACAACAATAAAGATCAATAAAATCAATCAAATAAATAGAGGCATTGGCAATATCAATAGGTCTCTGAAACAAAAGGCCGTCTTAAACAGGTGTGTTTTGAGTTGGGATTTGAAATGGGGGAGGGAGTCCATGTTTCTGAGTTGGGATGGGGATGAATTCCAGGGAATTCCGTGGTACTGAGACGGGCGGAGGGGACAAACAGGTGTACGGAGGATTTGAGGGTGCAGGAGGTAGTGGGAAGATGGATAAGGTCAGGCGGATGCTGGGGGTCGAGGTTGTGGACGGACTTGAACGTTAGCAGGAGAATTTTGAATTGAATACGGAACTGAACCCGGGAAGCCAGTGGAGCTGCTGGAGGACAGGAGTGATAAGGTGGATTGAGGGGGTTCGAGGATTCTGGACCAGTTGAAGTACAGTACAGAACGTGGCTCAACCAGAGGGGCTCAGGGCCTACCTGGAAGCGTAGGAATTTGACCAGCCGTCCTTCCTGTGAGCTGCAGACTGGCGGGATCCAGAGCTGATGCGGGACATCGAAGCAGCAACGGGAGAGGACCTGGGTTCCGACCGTTTGGGGGGTAAAAAACGCAAAGGAAAGAAGAAGAAGTACCCCAACCTGAGCGACCTGAAGCAGAGCAGCAACACGTCCCGCTCCAGGCTGGAGAAAAGGGTCTTCAACAAGTAAGTCCAGATTCTCCCCGAGGTAGCGGTAAACTCTAATCCGTATCAGGAAGGCACCTGCTCTCCTTTGAATGTTAGTGTTGAACCTGCTGAACAAGGCGTCTTAACCCAGTGGTTCTTAATGTTTTTTGAGGTTGAGGATTAAAATATTACGAAAGAAACCACACGACGCAAAATTACGATAGCCGTTGAATACCGTGCGCTCTAAACTCCCCGCAGCATTGATTGGCCAAACAATGGTGCGTGATCCTCTGCAGTCAGTGACAGCCCAGCGGGGGCACGTCATCACAACTTTACACAAGTGTGTCTTCACCTCTGTGTCAGAGGTTCCGCCGAACCCTGAGACTGACTCGTCGACTCTTCAGGGTTCCACAGAACACAGGTTAAGAACCACTGTCCTAACCGTACGTCTCCATGGCTTGTCTGTCCTCTGAACTCCAGGAGCGCCATGCGCCGAATGGCTCAGGTGATGAGCAAAGCTGACCGCAGGCGACACGACAAGTTCTCCAACCAGTTCAACTACGCCCTCAACTGACCCCCCAAACAGCCACGTCACGTCCTCCGCTCACCTGAGGCGGACTGCCTTCTCACTACTGGACTGGACTGATCTGACTGAACTTATATTCACAGGACTCTTGTTCAAGTTTGTAAAGCAGCTGGAAGGATTTAACTTGTGTCCGATAACCAGTTAAATGAAAGACCTTTATCGGGCTTTAGCCGGTCATCTTTCTTACCTCCCCAGACCTCAGTCCTGATTACCAGTGATCAAATACCAGCAAATGAGGAGGATAGGTCTTCTAACCTCATTCAATAAAACTATGCTGTTCTGGCCTCCTGCTTTGTTGTTATTTAGTTGTGTGGACAGGGAATAGCATTGATTTGTGATCACCGATTGTGTGCTAATGTGTGTTAAAATGATTTGTAGGAGGAAGACACTGTAAATATGTGTGCCAATCTGTGGTCTAATGAAATTTTGTAAGGGTTTATTCAACACAAATGTCCCAGCACTTTTTTGTTTTGTTTTTTTTAACTGAGGAATGCTCAGATAGAAGAACTTGTAAAGGTATGTGGTGCTAATTCTTACTTAGATATTTGGCCTGGATGTAATTTTTAAAGCGTTTATCCGTTAAAAAAAATAAATCACAGTGGTTTAAAAAGAGAGTCCAGGTATTTTTCCCTTCATTCAGCCATCTCCTTAAAAGATCAGGATCTATGCAACACGGTGCTGTTGTGGGTCAAACTCACTTACCGTCAACTTGGAACACTCAGTGCTTCAAATGCTTTATGAACGCGGTCCTCTTGGAAATACTTCAATTTTATTCATATAGCGCCAAACACAACAACAGTCATTTCACAGCGCTTTCCAAACAGCAGGTCAGACTGGACTCTGACGTTATTTACAGAAGCCCAACAAATCCCACCAAAAGCAAGCATTAGGCGACACAGGCAAGGAAAAACTTCCTTTTAAGAGGCAGGGGCAGCAGGAGACTCCCAACCGCAGATCCAAACTCCACAGCTCCAGGAACACCTGCAGGAAGTGACAGTACCAAAACACTCAGTGAGATCTTTTCGCAAACTAAAGTGTTTACCTGACAGGATACAATGGTTATGGTGTGTTGAGCCCCAAAAGTTCTTCCAGCTCTGCTTTCAGTTTCAGAATTGAGAGTTTTGACGGAGCAGTTGAAACGTTTCCTAACCATCTGACCACCTGTGTAATGCTGCTCCCTCTTCTTCGTTGTGCCCAACCAACTGCCTGTCTCCGTCTTATAGCCGAAACACAAACGCCGTTGGCTTGGAGACTCGGGCCGTTGGCTCTGCCGCATGTACCCTGAGGACGGCCTTTTTCTAGATAAAATTGCTCAGCAGGGCTCGAGAATTGTGACGTACCGGTCAATCTTGTTTCCAGCTTGCTAAAAATGTTCTTTCTGGGAAATCTGGTGTCCCTAAAGTCGGTCCTCAAGGGCCGTGGTCCCGCAGGTTTTAGAAGTTTCCCAGCTTAAACACATCTGATTCCCATGCATGTGCGATTATCAGGCTCGTGAAAAGCCTTTGAACTGATCCAATTAATCCAAATCAGGTGTGCTGAAGCAGGAAAACCTCTAAAACCTCTGAGGTATACGTATTAAAGAAACTAGGATAGAATCCCTCAGTAGCAGACAAGCAAGACGCACATGCAGAAGAGCCAAGTGCACATCAGCCACATGATATAAAACACCTGATCACCACCCAACTCCTCTCACTTGTATAATTCTTATGTCTGTTTCCAATTCCGGCATTGTTGAGAGGGACGAAGATCGATCCATTATCGTTACCGGTTATTCCCTAATGGGGTCACGGTGGGCGGCGGGGTCACCCTGGACGGTCCGCCAGTCCATCGCACGGCCACACAAGGACAAACGACCACACTCACTCCTAAGGGCAATTTGGAATGTTAAATCAAACTAACATGCAAATTTTTGGACGCAGAGAACAGAAAGGTCCTATTTTCGCTGGGATTTGAACCCATAACCTTCTTGCTGTGAAGCGATGGTGCTAACCACCACACCACCCAGGGACTAAGACGTTAGGAAGCAAGTATGGGCAAACTGGGAGGTGATGGTGCGGAGGCCCCCTCCCAGCTGTGAAGGATTACTCCTTAGCCCCGCCCCTCTAAACGAGAACATGACGCAATCCAGAAGAAGTCCACAGGACTCCATTTTCTCTGTTCAACTGTCAGCGTTTTAATATTAAAGGACAATACCATGTTGGGCTGAGGAAACAGTACATCCAGTGATAATATGGACTCTGTCAAAACAAATCCAATAAATAACGGAAATGAAAACAACCACAGCTGGAGTTACACAGTACCGACGACAGATCAAGCCATTCCGGACGCCATAAATAAACATTCAATATTTGGACAGTCTTAAAAAAAGAAAAAGGGGAAAAGAACTATCAGTCTATTACAGAGTTTAAAACAGCATTCAGAATTGGAAGCTACAACATAGATTTATGTACAGTTTCTGGTAGATGTTCTATCAAAATAATCCATTGAAATGAAAGCCTTCAATCGGAGCTAGTAAAAAGGTCAGTGGAGCTGGACGTGGGGCGCGTGCTGTCCGGTGAGCTCCCCCAGCTCTGCCTGCAGTCTAAAGCCCCCCCCCCCCCCCCCCCTGTGAGGGTCTACAGGTGTGTGCTGTAAAAGGCGGGGGCGGCGTAGCTCTGCGTCCCCAGCATAAACGGGGACAGGACGTGGCTGGCCGTGAGGAAGGGCAGCTGGACCAGGCTCCCCGCGGGGGGGTGGTGGTGTCCGGCGTAGCCAGCGTGCATGGCCAGGTGCCCGCTGACCGGGGGCGACGGGCTGAGGGGGCTGAGGCTCCCCAGGCCGCCCCCGCCTCCCCCTCCCCCCGCCCCTCCCGCACCGGTAGGGGCGGAGGTGTCGGCGCCGGGGTTCTGCTTCTTCCACTTGGTGCGGCGGTTCTGGAACCAGATCTTGACCTGGGTCTCGGTCAGCGAGAGCGACAGGGCCAGGTTGAGGCGCTCGCACACCGACAGGTAGCGCGTGGACTTGAACTTGTTCTCCAGCGCCACCAGCTGCTCGTAGGTGAAGGCAGTCCGGGCGCGGCGGGGCTTCCCGGACTTGGAGTCCGAGCCAGAGCGTTTCCGTTTGGGCTTGCCCCCCTGGCCCCCGTTGGCCTGGCCGCCGGACTGTCCGGCGGGGCCTCCGCCGGGGCTCTTGGAGTCCCTGCCGGGGTCCGGGTGGCTGTGCTGGTCTCTGTCCCCGTTGGCGGGGAGGGCGGAGCTGCTCTCCTCGCTGCTGTAGGCCCCGTCCGCAGCCTCCGAGTCCGGGGTGGCCGATCTGTGATAATCCTCCTCTTCCGGACTTCTGTACGCAAAGCCGTCTTCTGAAAAGCACACAGACGGGGGTTTGACCGGGCAAAGCAAGATTCTGTGGTCAACACACAGTGGACGGTTTCTACGACTAACATAAAAATGACTCGGGTCATCCCATTCTGCCAATTCTCTGCTCTCAGAATGATTTTCTACTCCTGTCTTGTACCCCAGAAGGGAAATAAATATCTTTTGCATCCCACTTTTGAGCCATGTGGATTTGTTCAAATCCCAATCAAATGAATCCAAGAGGATGTTTGCAAATAAAAGCATAAAGCAAAAACTAAGCAGTAATAATACAGCAATTTTTGTTTGCATATCAACAAATATACAAATGTCCCCAACATTAATTAGATAATTAGCTAATACCTTTTTTGTGATGTTTGGATTTGTTTCCCCCTTTTATCTTTACTTTCAGTCTACAGATAAGATTTGTTCCTGTTAGTTTAGTTAGATTTAGTGTTTTTGTATATTTTGTAATACTATGTTGTTTTAAAAAAAAAATCTTAAAGGGTTTTCCCACACCTATTTAAATGAGTGACAGTGCCAAGAGGTGCGTCTTAAGTCTGATGATATCTGTCCTTCAGCTCTTGGTAGTTTAATAAAATTCTAATTGAATTTAATTCTAATCATAATTATAATTTCTGAAGAAAATTTAAAATGGACATTTCAAGGTAAACAGGCTTTTTGGCCTAATTGCTTAAATAAAATATCATAGGTTCAGCAATAGAAATAAATAGATCAATACCAAATTAATAAACAGGTGAAAATTAATTGTGGAAATTGAGGTTAAGGCTGAAAAAACTAAAGCTGCAGAACAAGTAGAATTTAAGAGAAATAACAAATAAATGTCATGACAGCTTTGAACAAATCCAGTCATCACTTCCTAAAAACGATGTATGTGTGTGTATTTTTGTGTGTGTGTGTGTGTGTGTGTGTGTGAGAGGACGCTCAGTTTGACTGACACTTCACAGAACTACGAATAGAAATTCCAGTCTATCGCCTACATTAAGTTTTAGAGGTTTTTTAGTGGCAAGATAAAATATGACACATTCATTAGATAAAATAAGTTAATCTGACATTACCCATCACATTTAACTGGCTCAGAAAAAACTGTATTTATCCTCATTTCGGCCCAATGTGTGTAAAAATATATATCAAATGAATGTGTGTTCTGTTTAATTTGATCTTAAATGTTCTGTTTCAGTATGAACGTTTGCACCTATTTAAAAAACAAATTCTAACTTCAATGGCTGGAAAAGGAAACAGAAATGCTGTAAAATCTCTGTCGCAGTTTATTAATTAACTTGACATTAAAAAAACTGCTTAAGAGTGGCTAAATAATCTTTTTCTTTTTCTCTAAAGGTACTAACATGATTTCCCTTCAACGAGTCAAATTGCTGACAACGAAAACTACAGGGAAAAAAATCTGATCCATCGAATTAATTATTTGAATTGTTTGAATTATTTCCTTTTTCAAACAGGGACGGAGCCCAGTGGATTTATTTAGTCATTTCAGATTTTTACGGTAGACTTAAATAATTAGTTTTAATTTTTTTGAGAACAAAAAAACATAATAATGTCAATTAAAACATTTTTTTTTTTTCTCTGGAAAATGTTTAAGGGAGATTCTGAGATCGGGGCAAAAATGGGGAGATTTTCTGGAACGGACAGAGGACAGCGGTGGACTTTTAACGCGCCACAATAAACCTCAGTTACCATTTTCATCCTAAATAACAAACATTTCCCGTTTTCTCTCAGGTAAAAAAAAATCCTCTGTCCTACAAACGCCCCCCCCCCCCCCCCCCCCCCCCATGTCCCCAGGACCCTGCGCGTCCGGAACTGGTCCGGAACTCTAACACCTGCCGGACTCCTGAGAAAAAAAAACTTTTAACTACAGGAA